GGGGGCCGAGGGCCGAGGAGGAGGGAGGGGGAGCAGAGCGTGCCCAGCACTTGGGGGGCCGAGGGCCGAGGAGGAGGGTGGGGGCACAGGCTCAGAAGGCAGCGCAGTGACTGTGGGGCAGGATTGTACCAGAATTACTCCGTGGCACACAGGAAGTACTTTCTTACTAAGCACTCTCCCCTAGGTAGGTCTGAGGTGCCCGGGACACTTCTCTATGCCACGTGCGCACTACTGACGTCGAGCATTTGGACTGAGCTTAAGGTTTGCAGAGGGTTGTGTGTGCTCCCTCACTTCACCCTCCCAACAACCCCGGGAGGTCGGTGCCTTTATTGTTACCCCCATTTTGCAGATGAAGAAACAGAGGCCCCAGGAGTGTAAGTGACTCGTCCAGCCAGGAAGTGTCTGAGGCGGGCTTTGGACCCAGGTCTTCCCGACTCCAGGCCCCGCCCCGCCACCTGCTGATGATGGACCGCCCATGTGGCCCGAGCCGGGAAGCAGCACCCCTCAATCTTTCCCCCAAGGAAGCCCCCGTCTCTTCTCCTGGAGCATCTTACCTGAAGGAAGAACAGGGGAGAGACAGGACTCACAGATGTTTTCTTCTGCAAGGAAACAGAGAGAGTTAGCGTCCTTCCCTGGCTGCCCTGCCCGGAGGCGGCGGCTCCCACGCCAGGACTGGGGTCACCCACCATCGACCAGGACGCCTTTCATCTGCGTGCGGTGCATTTTCTTCAGGAGGGACAAAGAGTCGGCCACCAGGATCTTCTTGCAGCCTTCGCGGAGGAGAATCTAGGGGACACAGTGACAAGCGTCCGTTTGTCAGAAATCTAAGAAGAGAAAGCTGCATGCGCAGCCTGGAGAGAGACTACCAAGGAGCCTGCTGGCCACCCTCACAAACCAGGGCCACAGTGACTCTCCCGTTCTCAGCATGGGGCCTCGCTTCCTCCAACGCCACCTAGGGCTCCCTTGTACCGATCAGGTCAGATCGATCCGGCTAGAGATGGGGGTTCTAGGATTGTGCATGCTTGGGCCCCCCAGTACTTGGAAAAGGAGAATTTTGTTCTTGCAACGCACTTAGACTGCCTACCAAATGCCAGCATGAGGGCAAGTGGCTTGAGAAGGAGAGGGACAGCTCTGTGTGCCAGGTGGGTGAAACCACTGCCCCCCCACTCCCTGCCTCGATCCTGGGAGAGCCAGCCCAGAACTCTGTGCCTGAGAGCCCTGGGATCAGCTGTGCCTCGCAGACCCCCTGCTCATCTTCCAGCCTCGCCCCCAGAGCCGCCATCCAGGGGACCCGACAATTCCCTCTAAACACACTGCAGACCCTGCCTCGTCCTCAGCAGCCACCGAAGCCCCAGGAAAGAAAATGCTTGAAACTAAAACCATCCGCACTGCCGAACGGCTCCAGGCCGGGAGAAACACCGAAATGGGATCAAACAAGGTCTCCTTCAGGAGTCTTTGTCTGAAGAGGAGGGAGGAGAGGAAGAGGAAGAAAACTCATCAAAGGGAATAAAGAGAAAGCGTGGACACGCGGTCGGCCCCCTTTACACAATGGCGACTTTGCCTTTGACGCCGACAATGTGACGTGACTGTGGCAGCTGGACTTGATGAGGACGTTGAAAAAGACAAGTCATTAAAAGACATGGGAGCTGAGCCGATCGTCCACATCTTCCTTTCTCACGACAATAAAACCTTTCCTTTCCCTCAGAGGAACGAGCCCGCCTTTAGTTGCCAACCATTTCCTCTTTGTGGAAGGCCTGGTCCCTCTTCTCCTCTTTGATTTAATCAGAGCAGACTCTTGAGAAGTCCCTGGGAGGTCAGTTTGGACTGCCTGGGGCTGCCCAGACCTAACCTGGCCTGGCCTCAGGGCTCTCGTGGAGGCCCAGAAGGCCAGCTCAGGAAGCCCCCACCTGCCCCGGGTTCACACTAATGCTCCTGAGGCTCCTTGGCTCAATGCTAGGTGGTTGCTATCTACAGTCAAACACACCCACACCAGAGCAAATGCCTCCTGGGCCTGGAAACGCAGCCCACAAAATGAGGTTAAAATCAGCCCGGCAGGGGTGCCCGCACGAGGGCCACTAGGACACGGTCTACAGAGAGCTGCCTTGGGTCCCCCCTTCCGACTACCTGACTGGGCGACCCTGGGTGAGGACCTTCACTGCCCCACATCTTCAGCTGCCGAGCAGGTGCTGCCAGGCTGGGGCAGATCAGGCGCAGCCCAAACCAAGGTCCCCCGAGTCAGTCACTGCCCCGCCACAGCTCAGCAGTGGGCTCCCCTTGGAAAGAAACACCTTCTGAATGGGTATCATGAGGCTGAGACCCTCGAGAGCTGGGGCTGCACAGCTCTAGGCCCCCAGGAATTCATGCAGGCTTGCTCTGCCCCTTGATCTAGGAACCACTTGCCGAACACACTTTGTAGTTGAGAACGCCCATTGGCAGGGATGTGGGCCATTCCAACGGTAGCTCCTGAGCGGCGCGGCAGAAGCAAGCCCTCTCTCCCCCTGTCCTCACCCCACCCACCCTGGGCAATGAAGGAGAGACCCTCAAGGTGGAGGCGTATCTATGTCCACTGCCCCCTCCGAACCCACTGAGCCCCAAAGCACTACTGCCTTTGCCAGTACTTTGGCGACAGAACAATCAATGCTACAGCCTCTTCTGAACAGAGCAGCACAAACACGCTTCTTTCGGCTGAAGACCTCAAAACAGAATCTGGCAGAGACGGTGTCCAGGAGAAGGGTCTTGCCTAGCTTCTAGCACCGTGAGAAAGAACAAGCATTACCTCTCTACTGTGCGACCAATTCTGAAGGTCTTTGTTCCTCAGGCTTCTACAGAACCTACTGAGAAAAGAATTAAAAGGATTTTTCTGAAAAGGAATTATGACTCCATCCAGAGAAATACACATTACATCTAAGGGGATATGGAGGAAAGAAAAAAAAAAGTAACGTCACAAAAAGAGTCAGGAAGAACGTAAGAGAAATACTAATAAAATGAACTTTGGAGAAGTCCTTGAAAACCCATTTCAAAAACGTACTGGTGTGAGGTGTGAAGACATGGAACCGAAGTAACTATGGACGCTTGGTCTGGATAGGAGGCACACAGCCACTGTCTCAGTATACTGTGTGGAAGTGCTATCAGATCCGCCGTTTGACCCCAGAAAAAGATTGTGGCTTAAAGAAAGGCCCGACTACCTAACCTGTCCAAGAGGGGAATGGGATGACTTGGAAGGTAAGGGGCTCCCCATCGCTGGTGGGTTCCAAGGGGAGGCTGGATTTCCTACGTCAGGGAAGTCACTAGACAAGCTCTGAGGTTGCTTCAAAGTCTGAAATTCCATGATTCCCAACCCAAGAACACAAAAGCAGGTCAGTCTGCGTAGTAGGAAACTTCACAAAGAGCTGGTGCCTCCTTCTGAATGGGCGACCGAGCCACAAGCCGTGCGATGGTGAAGGTCTGAAGGCCTGTGTGGAAGAGGGGGTTTGAAAGACTCAGCCCATTTGAATGTGAGATGAATTAGATGAGCTGATAACGGATTCATAAGAAGAAGGTAACCAAGGGGAAGATCTGAATGGATTGAAAGGAAATAGCAGAGATTGGAATGAGCCATAGGAGAGCTCAGGTCAACAGAAAATCGGAGATTTCTCAATGTGAAAGATGAAACAGGAAAGAAAAATACACACAGAGACAGAACCATCTGTTCAGTGGGCTCTCACCTTTCTAAAAAGATGCTGGTAGCGCCTCTCTCCGAAAAAAGTGCAGCAATCACAGTTTTGTTACTGGGGAAAGGAACTCTATTCAGAAACGAGCATCCATGGGAATGAAAAGCCATGAATGTCACAAATGGAGCTTCTTACGTGCCTTTCTTAATATAATCAAAACCTCAGGTATAAAATCATGCAAATGCAGGCAGATTTCACCCTTCATTCTGGTATCAGGCAAGCTTATGAGATAATCCGGTAACTACTGGTAGAAAACATCCATTTAGTGCATGTGGATAAGTAACAATCTGAAGAAAATCAAAGGAAGGACAATTTCAAGAAAGATAATACGGAACGATTACAAGTCAGTATCACATCATTCAGGCATTGGTTTTGGTGCCATGGTACGTATGTCATGAAAACAACAGACCCAAAGAACTTGCTACTATATATTCCCCCAGACAGTAAAGGCAGAGGGTGAATGGGAAGAAGCAGTGTGGGCTGATCCACCATTTTTTCTTCCTTAATTTTATACTTTCTTTTGACTGCCTCTGCTTTACCAGCTTATCTTAAACCATTTAACCTGTTCTCAGAAACCTGGGCCAACTCTCCCTCTCCCACCCATGTCCCACTCAAATATGTAGTCATCTAGAAACTCAGTGACAGGGTGCTCTGCCATCCTCTATGTCTTTTAAAAACACTGGACCTTGGGTTAACTCCTCCTTCAACCTCTGATGTGCTATCACTTGGACAAAGACCCTGTGCTGAGTGGGAGCAGTAGGTAGAATTCACCCTAATTTTAAGGAGAAGGTTTGTCCTATCTTGTCTGATGCTGTCATCAATCAACTAGGGCAATATCGTCCAGGTGACCACTACAATGGGGTCCAATACCCTAAGAGCTCTCACCACAGAATCTGTCCAAGCGGCAGTGAGCACATCAGTGGGATGCAGGAGGACTTGATGCTAGGGGAGGCTCAGAGATGCATTCTCTCCTGCTGAGAGATCTCAGAAGGAGCCGTTTCCAGAGCCTTCGTAGGCTCATAGAGAAGGGCTCAGCTCTACAGCTGAAGGGGACCTCAGCATCCAACCCTCTCATTTGTAAAACGAGGAGAAGGAGCACAGGAAGGTGACATGACTGATGGTCCATAAAGTCCACACGACCTCATTGGATTCTCACAAGGACCCTGGGTGAAGCCTCTGTGTTATGTGTCCATTATTCCACCTAAGGGTCTCCCTTTCCCAACGCACTCACCCAGAGGTCCCCTTCACTCATGTTCTCATCATGCTTTGGTTTCACAAAGCATGCAAACATCAGTAGCCATTTTAGAGACAGAAGAACCGAACTGATTTGCACCAAGTCACATGGCAGGTCAATGGCTGATGGGACTTGTCCAGGGCCTCTGATCCCAAGGCCAGGGCTTGCTCTTCTGTGCCACAGGGTTGTGATGCACCCCAATGAGTGTAACTAAAACACCGTGCCTCTGACTCCAAAATCCCCTCTGAAATCTGACGGGTTGATGGAGCTTCCTGTTCTCCCCTCCCCCCTCCTTCGTCCCTTCTCCAAACCTGCCCATTTCTGCTGAGGTCACCTCCCCATCATCTTGGGATCCTCCCTCTCCTTTATGCTGCCATAGCCAATCCACCACCAAGACTTGTCAATCCTACCTCAACAACACCCCTTGTATCCATCCCCTTCTCTCCACTGCCCTGCTCACGACTCTGGAGACTTGCCTGGACTACCTGAATCGCCTCCTAATTGGCCCCCTACTTCCAGTCTGCCTGCTCTACCCTACCAAGCTACCAAAATAATATTCCCGAAGTATGGGCCTAACCACACCACCTACCTGCCTGAATGCCTCTCAGGATGAAGCCAAAGTCTTTTCCAAAGCATTTCAGGTTCTCTACAATCTGGCCTCCCTTAGCAGTCTAGTCTATTCTAGCCAAAACCTTCCGTGTTTCAGCCATGCTGGAAACTGGACTTGGAAACAGAAAGAGCTTTCCCTCCCAGGAATCACTTTTGTCATCTGATGATGGGTTGACCTCCATGGCCTCGAGGGTCCCTCTTAGCTCTCCCTGTATCCTCACATGATGGCGCCCTCCCTTGGTGATCTCCACGACATCTCCCTTGTCTACACTTTCCCGCGTAGACCTGTGGCCCGCAATGACAGTGCCCCCTTATTCCCTCCTCCTGGAGTCTCTGTCTTCCTCAGGTGATGAAGGGATGCCCCACTTTGTTTTCCTTGTTCCATACTTATTTGGGCATGTTATACCTCCCAGGAGAAGACAAGCTTCCTGAGGGCAGGGGCTGCTCTGCTTTTCTGTTTTGTTCTCTATGACCGATGCCTGGCACATCAGAGGTTCCAACAGCAAGCACACGTTGAACAGAACTCAGCCACAAGGAGTGACTCCTCACCGTTTTCCTTGACGATTGCTCTGTAGTTCACTTTCCCTTTTTTACAAGGTCAAGCAAAGGCAGACACCATCAAGCATCATCACTTCACCACTTTGGGAGTGGGGTTTCTCATCACGCTCCATGGACACGCTTCTCTCAGCGACATCCACAGCTAATTCCTATCGCCTCAACCAGGGTAACTGCCCTCCTCTCCCACAAACCCTCCAATGAATGAGAGTCCTTCCTTCCACCAGATCTCCCATGTGGTAGACACCAATGAGCTCTCAGGCTGCCATCTCTTTCTCCTTCAATCTCCCAACATGGCCAGCCCATCTCTTTTTTCTGATCCTATGTTTTGTGGATTATATTCCTTCTGCTCTTTGCTGAGCATAATCTTCACTGGAAACATTATCCTCACTGGAGAAATTATCCTCGCTGCATATCTCTTCCCTGCCCTTTGGGTCACCCATAACAAGGATAAATTGGCCAGCTGCATTGTGCTATGACTTGTAACCATGCAGCAACACCAGGAGAATTCTAGTTAACAAGGGCAATCTGTGGGTCAGGGAGCAGATAACAAGCATCTTACATCCATGTTTTTACTCTCAGAGTTATTAGGCCAACCTCACTAGAGGAGTCACGGATCACCCAGAGGAAGCCCTGTAATGTATCCTGGGACTTGTGGTCATTGGCACAGTATCAGCTACAAAAAGGGCTGGGGGGACATCACAAGTTATCAGGAAGCCCTCTTCCCTTTCAACTCAGTGCAGGCACCCTGCATGATGGGGGTGACCCCCTCCTGTGAATACATGTCTCCTCCCTTTTTGCTTCACTTAATACTGGTCATCAGTGTTACCACAGAGATTGATTCTGTGCTGGTATTTCTTTGGGGAATACTGACAAGCTTGGGAGGCTCACTGTAGGAGGAGAATGCTTCACGGTGCTGACATCTTCACAGAGAATAAACTCCTATAGGAGAACATGAGGATAACGGGTTGAGCCGGCACGGCACGTCTGGTCCAACACTCTCTTTTTACAGAAAGGGAAACCGAGGCCCAAGGAGGAGCCCAGACCCTGCCTCTTTGTCTATTTCCTCTCCGTTTTTCAGCCTCATCAGCCCGTTTGCCTTGCTCATCATGAAGCAATTCCAATGTCATCTTTATCACAGAATCAGAGAATTTCAGGGTAAGTGGGCCCAAAGAGCTCATCTATTCTAGTCCCCGGCATCTCTGTGGGGGCCTTCCCAAGCCAGCTGTCCCTAGCCAGCTTCTTTACCCAACCCTGAGAAGATCTTTATCTATTAAGAAGAGGGTCTCCCAAGGGACAGGTATTGGCTTCCAGGACACACTGCAAGGTCTCCCTGCAGGACTTCAGAGGTTTCTGACACCGTAAAATTGGGCATCCCTCCCAAGGGCAATTCTCCACAGCAGAACCAAGCCAGAACATTCCCCCCATGCCCAAGATCTCTCTTCACAGACGTGCACGGAGAGGCCCCATCCTAAGATAATGCCCCCACACAGACTGCACCAGCCAGGAGGATTCTCTTGGGCATCCTCTCCTTTGTAACAAGCCCCAGAATGGACCAACTGTCCCTCCAGAGCTCTGCCTGCTCAGCATTGCCATGGCGCGGGGGGATCTTCAGGCACTTGCCCCTTCCAGACTAGATAACTCAGCACTCTGGATGTGGTTAAGCTTCTGTGCTGTAAGAAATGACAAGGGGGATGAAGTCAGAAAACCCTGGGAAGACTTGCATGAACCGAGGAAGCAGGAGAACACTGTACGCAGTAACAGCAACATTGTAACGATGACCGGAGGTGAAAGACTGGGCCGCTCTGATAGACAACAGTCCACGACAATTCCGAAGGATGCTGCCCCTCTCCAGAGATGGGACTGATGAACTCTGAGGGCAGAGGGCAGCAGACTCTTTTACTTTCTTTATCCTTCTTGTTTGTGTGTGCGTTTCATTGTGCAACATGGCTTATATGGAAATACGTTTTACTTGACTTTACATGTACAATCGATATCATATTGTCTGCCTTCTCAAGGGGTGGGGGAGAGGCAGGAGGGAGGGAGGTCAAAGATTTAAAAAATCAATGTTACATTTCAAAAAAATGTTATTGGGAAATAGTTAATGAAACAAAAATATATTTAAAATTTTTTAAAAAAATAGATGTGTAATGTAATCTCTTCTGAGTGTCTTTCAAGGGTAAGAGGGGGAAAGAACTGATGGGAACAAGTATTTACACACAGCACCTACTATGTGCAGGGCACTGTGCTAAGCCCTTTACAAATACTATTTCATTTGATCTTCACAACAACCCTGGAGGGTAGGGACTGATATTATCCCCATTTTACCATTGAGGAAACCGAGGCAGGCAGGCTCCAGGCCCAGCACTCTGTGCACCGTGGCACCTCCAGGAGCCTGTAGAGGCTGGGCTGCCTTTCTGGTACGGTATTTTAAAATGCAGTCACTGATAATTTGCTACATGGAATTTCTCTCCCTTTCTCTCTCTGACAAACTGACAAAACCATCAATCCACATTTGTTTTAATGCAGAAGTATGCCACAAAAAATTAATCCGTAAACAATTTACACACAATAGAGCCCGTAACTTTGGGCTTAGGAGAGTTACTAATAAAGCATGATTTATGGCAACGCAGAGGAGTCCCTGGTTCGGGACCAGATTCGAGTCTGCTCGGCCTTCCTGAGTTCTCTCCACAGTCCCTACACTGGGAAACTCAAGCTCGGCTGGAAGATGACGGATGGAGAACCAGATTCCAGGCAGGGCAGAAACATGAGGCAAGGGTACAGACAAAGAGGGAACACTGTGCGAGCGGAGACTGGCCCGAGTGCAGGGCTCTGCTGCGGTAAGTGGGGAGGCCACACTGGTTTCCTCTCCATCTCTCTTGAACTTGGAACATTCTGCACAGTTGGCCACACCCACTTTCTCTGGTGGGGACGAGATTCCCCAGACACCTCCACTCAGCTTCCTTCTCTGGCTTCGTCCCTGGGGCTATGAAGGGGAAGGACACAGGCCCTCAGCACCCTCTCGGGGAGCCTCACGACTCTCACTGGCCCCGACCTCTTCTCTCATAATTCTACCTTTCACAGTCTCAAGGTTTTTGTTTCTGAGAAAGAAATTCTTGTTCTGTTGAGGACCCCCCCCTTAGGGAGAAGGAAGACCAGTATAAAACAGGAAAAAGGTTTGCTTTTTGGGTTTTTTGAAGTGGCTACAATGATACAAATTAATGGCTAACCAAATACTGATGAACAGAACCTCTAAAGAGACAATCTATAAATAGCACATTGATAACGGACGCAAAGTCTGAACCAATGGGAATGCTCTCATGGTGCTCCTGACCCTGAGTCAAGGCTGATGGGGGCAAACCATTCAAGTGTCAGAAATCCTTCTCTAAAGGCGGAGCACCACGGTGTCTCTCTCTCTGTCTCGTGAGGCAACTGGGGTTAAGTGACTTGCTCAGAGTCACAGTAAGTGTTAGGTATCTGAGGCCGGATTTGAACTCAGGTCCTCCTGACTTCAGGGCTGGTGCTCTATTCATGGCACCACCCAGCTGCCCCCACCAGCATGTTTCTTACCCCAAGGCCTTTCCTATAGTCAAAGAAAACAAACTTGAAACGAGAAACAGAACAGAAACAATTCTCAGTGCTGACTGACGGACACTCTGAACAGTCTCCAAGAAGCAAATAAGGTAAAGCAGATACTGAGTGCACGGTCAAGTCAGGCATTACACACATCACTCAACGTCATTCCTATGATGTTGATTGTTGACTTTTGGATCTGGGAATGTGGAGAAAGCCCTTGGCGCCAAGTGGGCAGATTCCCCAAGGGAGGCGAAGGACAAAAGTCATTCAGGGAGGGAGGGCATGGAGCGGCCGCAGGGTGTCTGCACGATGACGAGATCAGACTGATCATAATTGAGCACGAGAAGAGATCTACCCTGAGTCCCAGACAAGGGAGTGACTTTCTCAAGGTCATGCTGGTAGAATCAGAATTAGGCCAGGTCATCTAAGAGTTTCTGTGGTTTGGAAACACAGAATCACCCAGCCGCTCAAGTGCTGACGTCGACACTGTCAGGCCGCGCGCTGCGGACAGTCCGTCCTGAGCCCTGCACGGGCGGCTGGTGCCCAGGCCTACACTCCCAGCCTTCATGAAAGCTCAGCAGCTCTCATGGCTGACGGTGCCAGGCGGACCCAGGGTCCCCCCCACGCCACGAAGGGTCAGGAAGAGACCGCTCACTGGACCAGAGCTCTGGCACCACACTTACGGACAACAAGGGCATTTCACCAGACAGCCAGGCAGCCTGGAGTCAGCTTTCTCTAGGCCAGGAGGGGTCACTTACTTGAAGGTTGTAGTCCTGCAGTATTTTCACCAGGGAATCTCTCAAGTTGGGAATCTCCATTCCTTCCTTAATTCGGTGAATGAGAAGAATCGGGTCAACGTGGGTGCCGATGTTGTTCAACAAGCCGGTGATGAATGCTGTTGGAACATGTTAACACATTCATCGTGTTCGACACAAAACTCCGCTAGTCCATCATGGAGGAGTCATAGTCACTGGGGAAACCAAGACACTGGCCCTGCCCCCTACAAGCTGACGAATGGGTGGGGGGAGATAAGCTGGCTGGACAAATGGCAGAAAACAAACCAGGGAGATCCGAAGGAGGGATCCTGGAGGAGGGGGAGGGGAGGGGGAAGGAAGGGGCACGGATACAGCGCCTACTGTGTGCCAGTGCTGTCCGAATCACATCTCCTTTGATCCTCATAATAACCCCGAGAGGTGGGTGCTGAAGGAGGAAACTCTCAACAGAGCAGGAGAAGCTCTGCATGCACGAGTGTGTGTGTGCATGTGTAAGCGTGCGTGCATGTGAGTGTATGAGTGTGCAAGTGTGCATGTGAGTGTAATTGATTGCAAAACTTATGTAGGTGAGCACGTGAGTGGGAGTGCATGTAAGTGTGCTGTGTGTACGAGTGTATGCGAGTGTGAGCGTGTAAGTGTGTATGAGTATCTAAGTGCACATGTGAGTGGGTATGTGTGCTTATGAGTCTGCATGCATATGTATGAGTATGAGAATATGTGTGTGTGCACGTATTAGTCCATGCATGAACGTATGTGTAAGTATGCATGCACGTGAGTGTGCCTCTATGTGAGTTTGAATGTGCATGTGTGTTTGTGTAAGAGTGCATACGTGTGTGAGTGTAGATGAGGGTGCACACGTGAGGGTATGCATGTATGAGAGGGTGCGTGTAGTTGAGGGTTCAAGAATGAGGGATAACGAGTGAGAGTGGGTCAAGAAAGTGAAGAGGAAGGATGATATTGGAGGGTGAGGACGGTTTGGTCTGGCCTGAGTGCTGAGCCCACAAGAAGCAGAGAGTGAGCCATGGTCATAGTGCCAGGTCTGCCGGAGACCTTCAGTGACCCTGAGGGTTTCAGTAGGGGGTCAGGCGTGATCAGGTGTGTTGGCAGCTGCCAACACGGTGATTCAGGGAAGCTGTGCTCAGGGCTGTTGTGCCAGGCACAGGGGAAGCATCTGGCTGGGTGGAATGTCCTCTGACGGACAAAGGCTGGCCTCAACCCAGCTGACGTGGGGCAAATCTGGCTTAGCAACAAGAGAGGAGCTGCCTTTGGTTGCCAGGCTCTGTGGGTGGCTGGTCACCATTCCCCTCCCACAGGTGCTGTCTGATCTGTGGTGGGGCAGATCCATGCTGGGAAACAGAAGAGGAGTGGAGCAGGAGGCTCCAGGGTCTCTCTTTCTCTGTGCTTCTCCAGCTCCCACATCGATTGGTGTATCAAGACTATGCCTGCTACCAGGGAGGGCAGATATGCCCCCTGCCCCCTCCCTCGGGGGTGTCCCTCAAGGCTCTCCTGGCAGGCTCCTTCTCTCTCTTCCTTGTCACAACGAGCTGGTTAGCTCTCCACTTCTGCAGCTTTGCCTATCATGTCCTCTCTGTCCAGCTCTGACCGCCTAAGTAAGTTCCGGCCCTATGTTTCCAGTTGTTTGTGGGACATCTCCAGGTGGGATGTCCCACGAGCACCTCACCCCACAGGGGCTAAAACGGACTCATGCGCTTCCCTGACAATCATACCCTTTCTCGAATTTCCTAGCACTGCCATCTCCCAGAGACACTGAAAGTTCAGATAAATGCAGGGGGAAGAAACAGATGGAAACCAAGGAAGATGAGCAGAGAGGGAGGAGAAGAACAGGACAACAGATGCCCAGGAAGGAGAATCCCTGAGCCCCAGCACTGGGGAGGACCCTGTTGGACATCGACCAGGCCACCTCTTGTCTGTATCCTGCACCTTGTCAGGATGTTTCTGGCCAGAAATGAGCCATTCCCTCCTGTTCTGGGGCAGCTTTCTGTGTGCTGGGACACTTTGACACTGACTCACTTGCCTCTCTGTAATTCCTCTCACTGGTCTCAATTTTCCCTCCTGGAACCACGAAGGGCACGTCTAACTCTTTCTCTACATGCGAGACTGTCAGAGGATTATAACGCAGACACCTGGGCTTGCATCTCCAGGCTAACCATCCCCAGCTCCTTTAAGAAATCTTCACAGGGCACGAATAGGAGGCCCTCTATCTTCCTGTTTCTTCTTCTCTGAAGAGTCTTCAGTTTACCAACATACCCTCAAAAACGGGACACTAGACCCGATATACCATCAATGCACCAGATGTGTCCTCATCAGGACAAGATGACTAGAAAAGGGAGGGTGAAAATGCTTCAGAAGCACCACAGGAAGATGAGGACTGAGAAGAGGCCGTGGTACCTGGCAATCAGGAGAATCCTGGTGACCTTAGACAGAGAGATTTCAGTAGAGCAGTGAGGATGGAAGCCAGGTACCGATGGGCTAAGATGAGGACTGAGAAGCGGCCATGGTACCTGGGAATCAGGAGAATCCTGGTGACCTTAGACAGAGGGATTTCAGTAGAGCAGTGAGGATGGAAGCCACGTACCGATGGTCTAAGATGAGGAGTGAGAAGAGGCCACGGTACCTGGCAATCAGGAGAATCCCAGTGACCTTGGACAGAGGGATTTCAGTAGAGCAGTGAGGACGGAACCTAGGTACTGATGGTCTAAGATGAGGAGAAGAGGCCGTGGTACCTGGCAATCAGGAGAATCCCGGTGACCTTGGACAGAGGGGTTTCAGTAGAGCAGTGAGGATGGAAGCCAGGTACCGATGGGCTAAGATGAGGACTGAGAAGCGGCCATGGTACCTGGGAATCAGGAGAATCCCGGTGACCTTGGACAGAGGGATTTCAGTAGAGCAGTGAGGACAGAACCCAGGTACCGATGGTCTAAGATGAGGAGTGAGAAGAGGCCGTGGTACCTGGCAATCAGGAGAATCCTGGTGACCTTGGACAGAGGGGTTTCAGCAGAGCAGTGAGGAGGAAGCCAGGTACCGATGGGCTAAGATGAGGACTGAGTACCTGGCAATCAGGAGAATCCCAGTGAATTTGGACAGAGAAGTTTCAGTAGAACAGAGAGGACAGAAGCCAGGTACCAATGGGCTAAGATGAAGATTGAGAACCTGGCAATCAGGAGAATCCCGGTGACCTTAGACAGAGGGGTTTCAGTAGAGCTGTGAGGACGGAAGCCAGAGATTGATCGTCTTTCTAGAAGTGTGCCCGTGAAGACGAGCGAGGCTGGATGAGAACCGGAGCAGGGTTCTCCTGGGCTTCGGAGGCCCTGGACAGGTTTGTGGTTTGTGGCCAAGGGACCACAAGGTGGCATTCCTAGTTCTTCTCTTCCTCCTCTAGTCTCCGCGTGTGACATTCTGCGTATTCTTGGTAGAATCTGAGCTCCCAAAGATTAATAAATGCCTATGGATTGCCTAGTAAATATTTGCTAAATCTGTGGAATAAAGAGGCTGGGAAAAGAAATGACTGACACAATTTTCAGAAAAGACCAAGGGGTCAGGATGAAGACGCAGGTAGGGAAGGGGTCAGCCTGGGCCAAGAGGCATCCTCTATCTCCTCCTCTGGGACTAGAAGGAAGTATGGAGGAGGGCAGAGGACACAGCGATGCAATGAGGCACAGGAGAGGAGACAGGAGAGAATCTGAATTGAATGCAATCTTCCCAGAAATACATGAGTCAAGGTCATCTGCTTGAGGAAGAGAGAGAAGTCTGGCAAAGACCAACGAAGAGACTGGGACCGAGTATCGCAAGGCAAGCGTGAGAGCCCAGCTGCAGCTGGACAGCACCCAGTTTGACTGGACCCAGAGAACATGGTCTTTTGGACTTTGTCCAGAAGTATTCAGTAGGACTTTGAAATAGGAATGGGGAAGATGGACAGTGGGGGCTTGTCCAAGGCTAGACATCAGCAGCAAAGGGAGAGGGGAAGGTCAAAGAACAAGAGACTCAAGAAGAGAAGAAAGTGCATTGCTGACATGGCGGCCACTAGGGAGCAGACAGCGAAAGAATCAAAGGGAAACTGGGACAGGGCGGCTGCACTGGGTCCCAGGAGGAGGAACCAACGGGCCATCTAAGGAGGGAGAGTCCGGGGCAGGTTGAGGCCGCGAAAGTCAAGCAGTGAAGTGACAGTTGAGGCCGAAGGGGGACCCCACCTTTGGTGGCTGAGATCAAGTGAAGACAGATAGGAAACACCTCAGAAATCCCACACTCTTTCTAAGAGGTTAGCTTTGTCTGATTTCCTAAGAATGGACCTCCCCAGGCCATGAGAGAAAACCCCAAACCTGCCACAGACCAAATGTCTGATCGCAGAGAACAACTTAAATCAGATGCTGGAATTAACACGCATCAAAGGAGAGCTTTTCATTTGAAAAATTAAAATTTCTTCCCATGGGGCTATAGCTCTGCTGCCTCTTTTTCAGCTTGGCTTAGCAAGGCAGCTTTGACAAGAGTTTCTAGTAAATTCTGAAATGAGCCAGGTGCAGTTTAAACAAAAAAATCTGCTTTATTTCATCACACCAGGTCTTAAGGTGTTTCCCTCCTCTTAGAGGGGTGGGGAGATAAGATTTAGGGAAAGCCTCCTACCCCAAATGGAAAAGGCCAAACCCTACAGCGGGCTGTCGGACTTCAGGTCAGTAGTAAGACCATTGAACCAACACCGGCCTGCTGGTCAGCAGAGCCTACCAGAGAACAGCAGGGCCGGCACAGTGATAGGACATGAGGGCAGGGGCCAATCTCTCATTTCAGAATGCTGAAACTCCAGCTTCCAAATACGAACCAGGCTACGCAGCAAAGATGTCTATCCATAAAGAGTCCAGGAGGCTACTCAGGGTTACACACCATCCTTAATCTCTCTCTCTCTCTCTCTCTCACACACACACGCACACACGCACACCCACTCGGCTTACGTGGCTTGTCGATGGAGTACAAAATCAGGTCCTCCCACAGCTCGGCGTCATCATGCTCCTTGGCGAAGTCGATGGCTTTGTCGACGTCATGCAGCTCCTCCATGATCATCTTCAGGGCACTCCGGCTGTTCCCCATTCTGCCTGTGGGCAGGAAGGTGACCAGGTGTCACTCGGCACATCTCAATGACTCTTTGGGAGAGTGAAAAGCGAGGGGCCTTTACCTTATGCGACATTTATCTAATAAACAGCCTATGGCTTCCCTGGACAGCATGGGCATGCTCTACTAGGACCAGGGCTTGCCGGACTCCATCTCTTCCTTGTCTTCCTCGTAGGGTGTGCTGCGTCTACACTAGCACAGCTAAGCCTGTGACAAGCCCCAGTAACTCCTGGGAAATCTCTTTTCAAAGAGACAATTCCCAAAACAAAGAGTTTAAAGTTGAATCTGACGGGTCGCAGCACTTTACTTAGGAGGAAAAGGTGACCCAAGAGTGAGGGAGCTTGGGCAAGGTCACCCAGGGGGCAAGCAGCGGCAGCAGAGCAGGAACTGGAAGGGATGGGCCGCCACGACCAGCTCAGGGCTCTCCTGGCCCTTTATCTCTGGAGCGATCCCAGAACCGGCGACCTCAGAGGCCATCAGGTCCAGCCTCCTCCAACGACAGGCACAGAACCCTAGGGTCCAGAAATACGAAGCCACTTGTCCAAGCTCACAGAGGGATTAAGGCAGAGAACCAGAATTAGAACCGAGGTCTTCAAACTCCAAATCCAATTAAGAGGGTCTCAATTTCTCTGCCCCAGTGTGGTGTGTAGGGGCCGCGTGAAGCTACCTAACAAAAGGAGACACAGGGTGCTTCCTCACCACCCCGGCTGTTCATGAAACAAGCTTGCCGAGGACATTCACAAAAGCTTTTTGGCTCATGAATTGGAAGCTTCATTGAGTAAGCCACCAGTGACAAATGTTACTAAGAGTTACCAACAGATGATTTAGGTAATTTCTAAATGAGAATTAACGGTGAGGGATGGGGGATGGGGAGAGCAGGGGAACAAAGCACAAGCCATATGAACATCAGAGGGTGTAGTGGAAAAAGTCCTGGGTTCAAATCGTGGCTCTGCTGCTTATCATCTCAGTGACTCGGTGACAAGTCAGTAACTTGTTTGGGAACTCAGTTTCCTCTCTGTAAAAATAACCTAGAAGCTCCCTTGACACTCTGATTCTGAATGTGTCCCCTTATGTTTTCTCTAGGCCTTAGTTTCTCTGTCTGTAAACTGATCTGTAGATTGGCCTAAGTGGTCTGCAAACCCCTTTCTATCTTCAAGATTCTGTGATTATAAAAAAAAATCTACGTTCAACGAAGAATATACTTGGGAATCAAATGGCCCCGGCTGAGACCGTGTTTTTGAAAAATGAAGGTTCCGATGCCACAAAAGTCGACACTCGTGCGTCCGTCTGTTCCAAAGAACTCGAGGACCACTGACATTGAGCTTGGAGGGACCCTCAGAGGCCCCCACTTTACAGAGAGGAAACTGAGGCCAGAGAAGAGGTGCCACTTGCACAAGACCTCACAGGTCAGGATAGATCATCTAACCCCGAATCCAGCATTCTACATCAAACATGAGGCCAGAAGAAATTTCTGTGAAGCTTTTGGTCACCCTGAGATTCGGGCTATGTTGACTTTGCTCCTTTTTCTGTCTTGATCTGGTTTCCAAGAGGATCATTTCATCCTTTCCATGAAGCTGTGACTCGTGTGGGCCCCAGGCAGGTGCTGATGTCAAAGGGCCAGGAAGGGCTCGGGAAGGGGAGGGGAGAACACAACGGTGTTCTTCTGTCTGATGGTAGTGGGTGCGGTGAGTTTTTGGAACATGATCGTAAGGCAGCCGTGTACATGGGCTGGTCCCAGGATCCCTCAGTTTATGGAGTCTGGAGGCTACATTAGATCTGATCCCAATGAAGGACGTTACTTACTCAGGAGATAGACAGTCTCTTCCACAAAGTTCCTCTGTTGGCAGATCTCAAGAGCCTAAGTTAGAGCAGAAAAAAAGAAAAGGTGATGCCAGGGCCCTGAGCAGCACCAGAGCTGTCTGGTGACTCAAGGATCTGTGACTTCAATGGTCCAGGGAGCTCAGCCCCCAGTGCAGGGTGCGAGCCCCTGAAGTCTCAGTGGACTGCTGCATGAGTTGGAGGTGGCTGGAAAAACTCCATCAGCCAGGAGTGACCCTCGTGAGGATGAGCCCACCACACGTGGCTGAGACGGCCCCTGGGCCACACGTGGCTCTTCAGCCTGTTTCTAGGCCCGTGCTACACCAGCCGCAGCAGGCCCTTCGTGGCTCACCCTGGGGAAGCCTCCCTGGTTTAAGTCTTTAGGAAGCTCTGCCACACCAGGTACATCCTAACAGATTTCAAAGTGCCCTCAGTGTTCACTGACAGTCATTTTAGAATTAGCAAAAATGATAAAACTGTTCTGGCTTCCTGGCCCAGGCGCTGGGCTCCGTCTCCTAGAAGGGGACCTATGTCTTTCATCATTTAACTGACAAATAGTCAGGAGCTTATATTAAAAAACTAAACAAGACAACCCACGCAAACTTTCCTCTGCATCACTGGGGGAAAACAGCTACACTATTTAGCATCTTTCTCAACCTTCTCTAAACATCAGAATGTGCTGGGAGGAGAAATCTGTTCAAGCATCTGCCAGAAGGCAGAGGACATTATGGGTCAAAGTAGAAAGACTGAGGATATGAGATCAGGTTTCCCTCTAAAGACTCAAACAATTGCTCAGGTGAAAGCATTTTCTTTATGGATAAAAACAGGAGATTTGTCTATGGACGATGCAGACTGTTTTGGGCTAAGAGTCCAAGATGTCAGTGCCACGAAGAGGTGGGAGGAATGAAAAGAAGCAGAAACCGAGGATGCCAGCAGCCGTGCACTTCTCTAGTTTGGCTCAGTAGTACTTCTTTGGGAAATGGGGGCATGATTGAAATATTATAACTTGGGTTGGAAGTTAATAATTGCCTTTCCTTTTTCTCTAATGGGCCTTGGTCATCTAACCTACTGAAGCTACTTGGCTGGCATGAAACTCGACAAAAAGTCTCTGTGCAGATTTACAGGAGGTCATTGTGGGCAGAAATGCTTAACACAAATACAAACAGTGAGACCTGGATCGTGCTTCAAAGACCAAAGAAGGCTGAAAAGGCCACCCTCGAGAGGGGAGACCCTCAATCAGCTAAGAAGATGCTGCTTTCAAAATGGCACGATGGAAATTTAGAAAATCATGTTTTTTTAAACCAAAGCTAGCCGTACTGTGTCCCACTGCGTCCCAAGAGCACCATTCTAAGTGACGAAAGGCACAGACACAGAGAGCAAATAACAAGAAAGGACGGTCTCCACCAAGCCGTCCCATGAGTCACTGCATTCAGAGATCAAAGGAAAGAGTCATCACCACGGGTGATGGGAGAATGGTTAGGGAAGGGCCCTGGCCCTGAAGCATGGAGCCCAAACAAGTGTTCTGTCCTCTGCGAGGAAGGGAGGAGATGCCGGAGGGAGAAAAAGCAGAAGCGTCAGTCCAGAGAGGAAGCAAGGAAGGCATGTGTCAAAGGAGACCAGCCTCAAGAGAAAGGCGAGCAGGCTGGTCCCAGGACCTCAGGGAGCCTGGTCTTGATGACCTCGGGATTGGGAGACTTCAAAGAAAAAAAGAAGCAACATGATGACAGTGTCCGAAGGAAGCTAATGAGGCAGCACCACACAGGAGACAGTGAGGACAAGAAGACCTGTTTGGAAGTGCTGGCATCGTAGAGGCCTGGACCAGCATGATGGCCGTGAAAAAGGATGATACGGACAGGAGCCATTATGAAGGAAGTGAGATCCCTTCCACCTCTGAAAGTCTGAAAATCTGTGAAAGGACATGGAGACTGGACAGTATTGGGCAGGGGTACAGAGAGAGGAATGAAGCTTCAATCGGGGATGGAGTCGGTTTGGGTGGAAAGATGATGGGGCGTGTTTTAGACATGGTGAACCTGAGGAAAGAGCAGGAGATTCAGTAGAAGTGCCATAAAACCAGCTGGGTGGTCTTAGGTAAGTCACCTCCCCTCTCTGGGCCTCTGCAGCACTTGTAAAAAGAAGGGGATTGGCACAGATGATCTGTAGGGACCCTGCTAGCTCTGACATTCTATGATCCTAAATGCTCTTTCCACAGCTGGAGATACAGAAATGGAGCTCAGGAGAGAGGTCAGGGTTGGAGAGAAAAACCTGGGCTTCACACGCAGAGATAGAAGGGTCAGTGAAAGGGCTGAGAATGCAGGAGCCTGCTGAGAATTTAGAGTCTGAAGGGAAGGCCAGTAAGTGAGCTTTGGGGAACAGCTCTAGTCTGGGGTTAGGAGAGGGAAGAAGATCCAGAAAAGGAGCCAGAGAAGGAATATCACGCAAGGCAGAAGGGACCCAGAAGTTCAGCCCTCTTCACCTTCAGCTGAAGAGCTCAGAGACGCTGACCAACTTGCTCAGGGTCGCAGAGCTACGAAGCATGCAAGGTGGGGCTTAAGCCGAGGTCCTGGGAAGATGAGGTCCACTGCTCCGTTCTACAGAGCAAAGACATCAGTTTGGATGAATGATGCAGCGTAGGAGGCCATGGAGTAATAGCCCGAGGCCGCCCCCCCCACCAACATGCCCCTGGTTCTCTCTTGCCAACTCTTTTCCTTTGGTCAAGACTTGATTCTGTACCATCTGGGAGCTACCTTCTCCTTCCCCATTCCTTATGGCCGGATACACATTCCTGCAGCGAGTAACCATTTAAAATTTGGGCTTGCAGATTCTGAGCATTCAGAAGCGATGCCCTGGAGGGCAGCGACATGGCACTGTGCTCAAGGATGAGCCTTAGCCCCTTAGGAAGTCAATAATGGAGGAGCTGCTCTTCAGGGCTAAGCACTGTGTTTATTATTCAAACACCTTCTTCAGAGCCCGTTCTATTCCCTATTAATTTGCATTTCTAAAAGTACAAGCCAGCTGAAATATTTTTTTGTACTGGACAACAAATTAGAGCTTTTTACCACTTCTAACCCTTTTTGACAAATGCACAGACCAGGGAAACAAATCCAAACAGACTCAAAGAATAATTTTTAAAGGCACCAGCCATTTTCCAAGATTAAGATCCCGTCCATCAGTCAATAAACATTTGTTAAGCGCTTACTACGTATGTGTCTGGCACTGTGCTAAGCACAGGGGACACAAAAAAGAGGCAAAAGACAGTCCCTGCCCTCAAGGAGCTCACGATCCAACGGGGGAGACAAGGAGCAAACAGATATGTACAAACCAGCCCTACACAGGCTAGAAAGGAAATAATCAACAGAAGGCAGGCCCTGGAATGAAGAAGGGGGGGACACACCGTACTTCCTGCAGGAAGTGGGGCTTCAGTTGGAAGCCGGGAAGCCAGCTGGCTCCGGGAAGCCAGGAGCTGGAGACGAGGAGAGAGGCCTTCCAAGCGTGGAGGACAGACAGAGAAAATGCCTGGAGGTGAGAGTCGGACCAGCCGGGAGGCCAACGTCACCGGATTGAAGAGCCTAAGATGGGGCGTAAGGTGTAAAGAGAGGAGGGGGTGGGTCATGAAAGGCTTTGAATGCCAAACAGAACACTTCGCAGTGGCCCCTGGAGTTCACTGAGCAGGGAGGGGGTGGCGCGATTAGACCTGAGCTTTAAGAAAATCACCTTAGTGGCTGAATGGAGAACGGACCGGAGCGGGGAGCGGGGAGAGCCTCGAGGCGGGCAGACCACCAGCGGCTATTGCCGTGGCCCGGGCACCAGGTGATGAGGGTCTGCGGCAGGGCAGGGCAACGTCGGGCACATTCGAGAGATGGACAGGCCTTGGACACTGCTCGGGTTTGGGGGCTAAGAGATAGCGAGGGATCCTTGAGCCTCAAGGGCTACACTACCAGGCGAAGTAGGGCAGGGGAGGGTTTGGGGGAAAGAAAATGAACCCTCTTCTGGACGTGTTGAACTGAAGATGTCTCCTGGGCCTCCAGTTCGAGGAGTCTGAAAGGCAGATGGAGACGTGAGGCTGGAGGTGGCAGAGTCCGGGGCGAGAAAGGTAGATCTGAGAGCCGTCGGTATCGAGACAGTCATTAAATCCACGGGGATGGATGAGATCACCAAGGGACGTAGGACAGAGGGAGAGGAGGGGGGGCCCAGGACAGCACCCTGGGGACACCCACGGTGAGACGGCATGGTCTGGGGGAGACTGAGAAGCAGCCATCAGAGAGGAATGGGGAGAAATCGGAGGGAGAAAACCTGGCGAGAGCAGCGTCGAGGAGTGACCGCCGGGGTCCAAGGAGGCAGGGAGGCCGGGGGGGGGGGGCTGAGAAAAAGCCCCCAGGTCTGGCAGCTGAGAGGTCCCTGCCGCCTCCGCTGGGAAGACGCCCTTCCTGACGGGGGAGTGACAGCGAGCGAGGCCCCCGGACCCGGAGGGGACAGGGGAGAGAGGCAGGGTCTGCGTGGGGCCTCCCAGGCCATGCACGCGCCCGCCTTCTGGGGCGCCTTCCAGCCAAGAACTCCCAGTGCTCTTATACCCAGCAGCGCGATCCTTCCGTTCTTATTCGCAGGCTAAGGAAGGAAGGCTCCCCACGGGCCGTCCACAACGTGGCCTGAGGAAGCGCGTGCAGAAAACACTTCCAGGGCCAGGATTTCCCCGAGTACATGGGAAGGAAGCGCGGAGCCACATTTCACCATCCTGGATCCGGCTCATTCACGGGCCGCAGCGCTCCCCCTAGAGGGGAGCCGAGGAGATGTGGGACAGAGAGGAACAGAATGGGCCGCAGCGCTCCCCCTAGAGGGGAGCCGAGGAGACGCGGGGCAGAGAGGAACAGAACGGGCCGCAGCGCTCCCCCTAGAGGGGAGCCGAGGAGATGCGGGACAGAACGGGACGCAGCGCTCCCCCTAGAGGGGAGCCGAGGAGACGGCCTTCTGAGAACAGAACACAAGCTTTCTCCTTTCCCAGGGAAAAAAAGGGGACGGGAGACAGAAAAGAAATTAACAGAGAGAGAAGACAGGGAAAGGCCCGAAGACAGCGCCCTTCTGGTTCTTGTCTCTCAATTCACAAACACCAACGGCTGCATTTAGAACAGCAGCAGGCTACAGACACTCGGCAATGCACCGGCCGGGCCTGGTCACCTGGTCCGTCCTTCCTCGGCTTCGGCCGCTGCAATCCTGCTGGTGTGCCTCTGTGCTGCGGCCGTGATCTCGGGGCCTTGAAGGCTCTGCCCACAGTCCACCGAGCCGGGAGCGTGGGCGCCGTGCCAGCGGGCACGTCTCTCACTGAGGACCAGCCTGGCTAAGCTCAGGGAAGCCCCACCCCAGGCTGGCCACAGCCTGACAAAGCGGGATGGCTTTCCAGCCAGCGCGGCTTTCGGGGGCTGTGGATGGACAGGCGGAACGTGGGCTGCACCAGTGGATACAGAACACACGAGGATAAATCACTCTTCCCTGGAGGACTAAAGTTTTTTTGTTTTGTTTTTTTTTTGCTTTTTGCTTAAATTAACCAGGAGCTCAAGCTCCGCGGCATTTTCCGGTGGACCCCTTGGGAATTCCAATCTAGGGAATTCTTTGATTACTCAGAGGCACACCTTTGCCAAAGCACAAAAGTTTAAACTCCTGCTTTTGGCCCCGAACTGAAGAAAGTCGGCTCTTAAGACATCTATCTGTTCTCTCTCATAACACCCGTATTAGAGCAGATGAAGGGGAAAACTCAGGAGGTCCCTTTTGAAACCTGACACATCATTTCTCCCCTCCTGATCCTACACTTTTTGGGGTGAGGGGGCGGGAGGACATATTTTCAATAACTGCACAGACTGTAATTTCCTTTAAACTTTAGGCCTCCTTTCAAAAGGCAGCTGAAAAATTGAGAAATAGCTTAAGAGCTTTTCATGCTGTGATTTAAGGGGGCTAATGATTTGTGACCTCCAGCTCGAGGCTTGAATGTTTCCATAAGGCTTTTGATGAAGGAGATGCCGGTGCTCTAGAATATAACTTTACAACTGGGTGGGCAATTTACATCGGCAGATATGAAGTGACCCAGCACAAGGCCGGTCTGAATGTTTAAGCGATTCTCACCTTCTAATTCAGTTATCCTCCCTGCTGACCCCTTTACAAGTATCGACCTGTGAGTGGCTTCCCAGCGAAGGCCCACATCCCCCACACCTTGAATTAAGAGGTTGGCTGTTGTGAAAAGCCAACTTTAAGCCACCAGGTGCTGATGGGGCTGCTGAGGCGAAACCGTCAGCAAAGTTCTCAAGTTGGGTTACCACCGAGTGTGTGGGTGTTTGTGGGTGTTCACAGGGCTGCTGAGACCCTCCTTCTTTGGATGATGACTTTCCAGAAATTAAAAAATTGGTCTCTCCCTTCTCCCAACAGACACGGTGTGAAAATGGCCCAATTTCTGTGGGATTTTTGCCTTAAGCCAACAACTGGCCCCCAAAGGCTTCCCTTCTGCATGCCAATGTGTGCGCCATCTTCAGCTTTTGGTGTCTTTCTCTCTGTCGGATAAAAGGTGGTTGGCTGGAGCCTGGGATCTCGCTTGGAGTCCTGGGCTGACAAATTACCCATTCTACCCTGGCTTTCTAAGTTTGGGGGAAGCTATTTTCAATATTACGATGGGCAAGACTCATCACAAGCAAAGCCGGAATGGGCCTAGGCTTGATCTGTGTTTGCTCAGCCTGGTGTCTAATGGCCTGAGCCATAGATGCCATTAGTTGGTTGAGATATAAAATGGATTTTTCACTTTCCAAATAAATATGTTACTACTGTTGGCTTCAAAATATGGTAATGTACAAATGGAATTTCTTTTTGGAGTAAGAAAAAAGACTGACAAATGAACTGTGAGCTAATAAGTCATCAGTCTCCTTGAAAACCACAACAGGGGCTTAAGTAAGTATAAATGTGCCTCATCCCTAAGTTAAAAACAATGAGGACGTCCATCTTTCAAGCAATACCTCCCTTCCTCAGGAGATAATAGCAACTTATTCTAACAAAGAAAGTCTCCATGATTTACAATGCGAAAGTCCCTTGAAGGAGTTTTAACAATGTGAATTTCACAACTCCATATAATGAAACAGTCTCCTGACCCATTTATAATGCCTGCTGGATTCTCTTCTGAATATTCTCTCCACACAGCACAACTTTGCATGAGGAACCTGAGTCTGGTCTGAACTTCCGAGGGGCAGGGCTTCTAACTCGCAGCCCCTGGATGCTGGAGTCTGGCCTACTGTGCCTCTGGACATCACAAAGCACACCTGAAGTGACAATGTCAGAGCCTGGGAGGAAAAAGTCTGGTTCAGCACATCGGAAGAACCCAAGCTCTTAAGACTCAAGAAAATGGCCAACCTTCTCACCCAGCCTCTAACATAATGCTCACAGCAAGAATGAGAAAGACTGCTTTTATGAGAAAGGTGTTCTGTGTGTCTCTGATCTCTACCAAGGGTGTGGACAAGAATCCCACGGGCTTGCTGGTTGAGTGGAGAGGCTCCACAACAATGAAATTACAGATATACTCGAGTATATGTGTCTTACACATCAGGATTCTACTTATGAGCAATATGGCAGACTGGGAGGATGGTGGCGCCACCCAGAGTAACAGGAAAGTAGGAAGAGGGGAGGGACTGGGGGAAAGAAAATCAACTTCATTTTGAACTTGCTGAATTTAAGACATCTATGGGATATCCAGTGATAGCTGTCCAAGAACAAGATGGAACCACAGACTGGAGACTAGGAGAGAAGTTAGGGCTAGATAAACGTAAGAATCACTGACACAGAGATGACAACTGAATCCATGGAAACTGATAAGATTACTAAGCAAAACAGTATAAAAGGAAAAGAAAGGAGGGCCCAGGAAAGGCTGTGAGTCACCCCAGTTAGTAGGCATGATTCGGGTGAAGATGCAGCAAAGCAGCAGTCAGCCAGGCAGGAGGAAAACCAGGAGGGAGAAATGTCATGAAAACCTAGAGATGATACTATCAAACCCAGGGGAAGTAGGTGTGACAGAGCCCAAGGCTGCAGAGAAGCTAAGAAGGATAAAGACTGAGACAAAGTCACTAGATTTGGAAATTAAGAGATCACTGGTGACTGGAGAGAGCAGATTCAGTTTTCAATGTTCTCTCCCCAGTGTATAGGACCTTGAATGTACCTGGCACTCAAGTAGTAGCTGAGGAAAGAAGGAAGGAAGGAAGGGAAGAAGGGAGGGAGGGAGGCAGGGAGGAAGGGAGGGAGGGAGGAAGAAAGGACTTTCTGAATTTTTTACTTTAGTTGAGCAAATATGATGCTGTATCCTGGGCTACTGACTTGGGATTTGCAATCTGATTTTGACTTTGCTTCCTAATTATTGGGTCTATTTTTCCCCAGATCCTTACCACAAGGTTGATTTCCAAGCTTGGCCTGTCCCCCTGAATGTCCGATGACTCCTTCGGTTTGAGGCTCTGGACCCTAACTTTGTACCCAAGCCCCAAATAACCCCACTCACTACAGGGGTTCAGTCATCAAGAAGGCCCAGAGTCGCTCCTCCTCGTCCCGACAAACTGAGGGTCAGGCTCCCCATCTAAACACTCACCCCCAGGAGAAGCTCCTGCCCCAGGAGCATGGTGGGCAGGGAAGAGAGGCACTGTGACCACACATGAACTGCAGGGAGGTGGCTGCTCACCTTTTCCAGGGGACAGTGGGTGCTATCTCGGAGAAATGGCAGCAAGTTGGGGCGATCGTATTCGGCATAAAGGCTGATCTGCTTCTCATGGAAGCGCTGGCCCTTATGATGGTCTCTCTTGAAAAGCTTGTGCAGATACTGGAAGAAACAGAGGACAAGGGCATCCAGATTAAAATGGGGAAGTGGGGAAGCCAGTCCACACTAGCCTTCCCTTCTCCCACTGCCCAGGTAGCTTCATCAGAAAGACATGGACAAAGCACCTTTCAAAAACCTGGCCGTGACCCAGGGGTCCCAAGGGCCTGGTCACAGAGAGGATAGAGAAGGTTTCCCTTTCAAAGTGGGAGGCACATTGAGATTATTAGAAACTCAAGGGCTGGGCTTGGGGTCAGAAGGCCTGGGTTCAAATCCTGACCTGGCATTTACTAGCTGGGTGACACTGGGAAAGTCACTGAACCTGGCTGAGACTCAGTTTCCTCATCTGCAAAACGGGGGATTCGACCAGATGGCGTCTGAAGCCCCTTCCTGCTCCTGAGCTATATGGTCCTATGACAAGAGCCGAGTTCCCGCCTTGGCCTGTGGCTATTTCAGAATCAAGATGCTCACGGGTAATTCCCCACTGCCCCCAGTAGGGACTGAGAAGCCTTCAGATGACGGCTTCACACAGTCAGGGAGAAGGCCTGAAAAGCATTGCCATGTGACGCCTCTCCCCTAAACAAGGTTTGTGGCTCTGCTTAGTGGGAACGGCTGCAAAGCCCCCCACCCCTGGACTCCCTTGGGCTGGCCACCCCAAGGCCAGCAGGTGCAGACAGTGCCAGCCTTGCCAGCAGGCATGCAGGCAGCCCATGGGGCTTTTCAGACTGTTTTCCAGGCCCTCCACCCTTTCCCCTCTCTGACACTCGCACCCTGCTCTTAGCAGAATCAGGGCCAATGGCATGTTACTCTGAAATTTTTAAAAAGGCTCCACCATGTATTAATGTCAAAGCTGAGCCATGACCGCACGATTTCCTGATGTCAGGATGGCTCCATCGCCAGGGCCCTGGAGCACAGAAGAGCCCAAGTCGAGCTGCTCTGAGCTGTCCTGCCTATGCTTCCTCTTGCACCCTGAGAAGATGTTGCGTGCCCTCACTGCCCAAAGGCCGAGCCTCGCTGCTGGCCATAGTAGCCAGAAATGATAAAAAAGGAGAGTGAATAGGGCTCAATGCACATTGGAAAGCTGAGGACCCACGGGGACCTACAGAGACCTCACACCAGGGATGGCTAGAGACAGCCTGAACGTGAGGACATAAGCATGGGGCTGGCATGGGGCTGTGGGGGTGAGGGCAATCCTCTCCTCTCCTGAAGTCAGGCTTTGCTTAGCCAGTGTGTGAGACACAGGGCTCGTATGGCCTAGGGAAGAATACTGGCTGGAGATCTGATGCAGACTGTAATTAAGTGAGGAGAGAAAGAACCACACGGGAAATCATCTCATTGACGGCCCTGCGAGGGATGCCAAACGAGCATGAACAGAAATCTCTTCCTCTGCTGCGATGCCAGCTGTGTGTGAACATACAGGCACGTGCCCGCTTTCTCCTGTACCGGGGCCCCTGACCCGGGAAGCCAAGGCTCGTCTGGCTGAGGACTCATCTGAAAGCAAAAGCATTAACTCCTCGAAGGACAAATGCCACGGAAGGGGCAGAGAGAAAGGAAAGGGAGCGGAACTCACCACGTGCTGCAATTCCGGCCTGTTTTCTAGTTCCTCCACGACCTTTTTTATCTGAAGAAAAATGAAAATGATGACGTGTGAACAAGGACATATGAGCCAACAGGCAGGGATGAAGTGTGGGGTGTCCCCGCAGGCCCAGCATCCCCGTGCCCCGCAGCTCTGGGCAGGAGCCGACGTGCAAAACATTCGGAAAACACTCACGGAAATCTTGTCTTCATTGTCCAAAAGCATGTCAACAGCTTTCTGAAACGCAGAAAGAGACACACTGCTTAGCAGCTGGCATCTGCAGGCAGAGGGAGTTCGAGTTAGCGCGTGCCTGGCCGCGAGAATGGCGGAGAAACGGCCCCCCGACTCTGTGGGACTTTGTCAGTCTCTAACTACCCACAGGAGGACGGTGGGAAGGAAATGCAGCAACATCTACACAGAACTCTGGGCCAGTCTGAGGTCCCAGCCTGGCTGACGGCGAGAACGGAGCCTCTTCTGCATCGCCACGGGCACCTCTCGATGGCGCTCAGTTTCTGGTTTTGCTTTCCCGGTCGGACCCACTGGTGAAGTGTGGCTGCCCCCCACCACCCAAAGAAGCTTCTCTCCCTGACATCTGCCACGTACAACCACTCTGGCCTCGGACACCCTGTCTAATGCACCACCTCTCAGAATCCACTGCAGCAGAGGAAGAGGCCCAGGCCCAGGACAGGAAGGGCCTGGGCTTCAATTCCACTTCTCACTCAGCTTATGACCCTGGGCAAACCACTTCCTCTTTCTGGGCCTCAGTTTCCTCCCCTGTAAGTGGGGTTGGCCCGGCTGACCCCCGGGGTCCCCTCAGCTCTACAGCTGGATCCTACGTGAGCTGGACTTCCCTTGGATGGGGGTCTGAGGATTAGAGGCTGGGAAAGGCCCGTCCAGACCCAGCCGGTCAGCTGTGAGGACAAGCCCCATTCAGGCCCAGTGACCACTTTAGATTTAACATCACAGAGAAGCTGGGAAAGAAGTGGGGGACTCGGCAGGAGCAGAGGGACACATCCAGACAATGGGGAGATGTTGGCAATGAATCCGAAGGACGTGTAGAGTGGAAAGAAAAGGACTTTAAGAGAATCGAGAGACACCAGACGGACCCAAAGGTAAGTTTGTCTCAAATCTCCTCTATGTCATGATAATGTCAACAATAAATGATAACCTCTTGATCGTTAATTTATCATTTATCATCATCATCATCATCATCATCATCATTTATTTAGCGCCCACTATGTGCCAGGCACTCTACTAATAAGCAGTTTACAATCATTATGTCACTTGGTGCTCACAACAACCCTGGGAGGTCAGTGCTATCATCATCCCCATTTTATAGTTAAGGAAACTAAGGCAGACGGAGAGGAAGTGACTGGCCCAGGGTCACACAGTTAGTAAGTGGCTGAGGCAGGATTTCTACTCAGAGCTTCTTGATTTCAGGCCTAGGGCTCTACCCACTGCCCTACCTTGCTGGCCATGTAATACAAGCGAGGCTAATGGAAGACAAGGTGGTTTTCTCCCACAACTCATTTTCTGTAAGTTGGGTGGCATTCCTCTTTTGGAAGAAAAGAAAAATCCAAGAATTTAAAATGCTCCCACAGAAAACGTTCTACAACATTTCATAGAGCTCATTGTAACACCTGATGTTTATCAAGCACCCGATGCCCCACGGGGCCTCCGCCAGGTGCACTCTCAGGGCCTCCTCCAGGCACACTCACGGGGGCCCCCATCAGGCGCACTTGCGGGGCCTCCGTCAGGCGCCCAGCATGCTCAAGGTACTGGGGTTACCCATACAAATGCACCTTCTAATTACTCCAAGTGTGATGACAAAGATCATGTCGCGGTAACAGACTGGACATACGCACCTCTGAGTCGAAGTCCATGAGCAGCACGATTTTATCTTGGATGGCGCTGAAGAGATTGTGCTTGTGAATCAGCTGAAAAACATCTTTGTGGCGCAGCGTCAAGTAGATCTGGAGAGCTTGGCTATAGCTTTTGTCATAAGTGTACCTATGAACGAAAGGCCAGGCAGCCGGTCAGTCACCACACACTGCCCGAGCACCAGCCATGTGCCAGGCACCATGCTGAGTGCTGGGGATCCAAAGAAGGCCAGGCCAGGCCACCTGCCTTCGGGAAGCCTGCGTTCTATCGGGGGGGGGGGTGCTGTGCGTGTGTGTGACCAGTACAAGCTGTAAAGCTTTGAGAACTGTACATACAATAAGCATGAGGGAGGGCCAATCTTTTGGTGGGGGATAGTCAAGAAAGGCATCATGAAGAATTAGCATTTAAGTTGATTTTTGAAGGAAAGAAGAGATTCTTAAAGGAAGAAGGAAAAAAGGACGGTGCTGCAGGTATGAGGGACAGCCAGGGCAAAGGCACGGAAGCAGTAAGGCCAGTCTGGCGCCAGGAGCCCTATCTGCTGCTGGCAGATGATCGGCTAGCAGATGTCAATCTGGCAGCTGAGTAGAGGATGAGTTGAGGCGGGGAGAACCCTGAGGCAGGGGGCCGCTGGGCCAGATTTAGGAACTGATGAGATGTGTGGGGTGAGGGAGGGGGAGGGGGAAGGACGATGGGTGAGGTTCTGAGCTCTAGGCCCTGGAAGCCTGGAGGTGCGTGGAGGAGCTAACGAGCACAGCTCTGTATGTGTCACGCTGGAGATATCTATGGGACATCTACTTTGGAAGTCCAATAAGCAGCTGGTGCCGTGGGCCTGGAACCCAGGAACCAGGCTAAGATGCGAAACAGGGATCTGGGCTCATCTGCGAGAGATGAAAATTAAACCCCAGAACTGATGAGGGGAGAGAGTGTAGGGAGAGAAGGGAAGGAGGCCCAGCACAGATAAGATGTCTTTAAGTTAAAGGTCATCTAGAATTCTAATTTCAAAGAAGAAAGAGGTATCACAAAAATAACTGGGACCATTTAGAAACAAAATGGTTCTTAGGAATGGCCGGCATTAATGGTGGACATGAAACAGAGAATGAAGACGGAAGGTCTGAGTGAAATGACCTTGGAGGAGGGGTCTCTGGAGTCAACGGACCCCACGGTCTTCACTGGTAAAAACAAGGGGTAGGCCAGAGTGACCACCAAGGTCCACACCAGCTCCAACATTGGTTCGATGCCTTCTTTCACTCTGAACCTTTGCTTTCCTTCTACAAAAAACTGGCCTTCCTAATCCTTGTGCTGAATCATCACTTTGTGGGGCTTTTACGTAATTTCTGATGGGCCACGGGTGCATCTCTGGACTCGAAGACCCCCAGGTTCAGAACAAGCCAGCTTCTCCTTCTGCCAGGAGGGGCTACGCCTGGAGGAGGTGTGACAGTGACCTCAGCCTGGGTGAGTGACCTTTAGACCTCATGGCAGCCCTGGCCCACTTCTTTCATCATAAACCAGAGGTGCTATTTTCTCACAGCACAACTGAGGCTGGTTTGCAGCTAATTAAAAATAGCTTTACTCCTCCAGGCAGGAAAAACTGGAAACTCACTGCCGACCTCAACTTCACACTTATCATGTTGGTGAAGTATGAAAAGAAAATGATCATGCAATTATACATTTAAGTGGGTAGTCGTTCCAAATCAATATATCTACATGAGAGATGGGAGGGAGAAAAAATCTGACATTTTCTTAAGTAAGTTGCAAAAAACCCTCAAGAGCCTGCTGAATTAGGAGTAGGAGGAAAGGGAGACGAGGCCTGGTCAGGATGGAAGTGTGCCCTCACAGCTCGGCCAGTGTTTGCAGCAAGGTCCTGCTCTGCGGGTCCTTCTTGAGGTGGTCCCGAACAGCCTGCACGATGACTGAGTTGTTGTAGAGGTCACCGGGCCACTCTCGGATCAACGTTGCAAAGCCCTATGGGAAAAGAGGAAGAAAAGCTGCGGAGCAGCTCCTAACCCAACAAGGGTCTCTCTCCCAGGAGCCTGGGCCTCCCAAAGCAGCCTGACAACCAGGCCGGGGAGCTGGCAGGGGTGCACACTAAGGGGCTGGAACAGAACTATGTCACCAAAGGACCCGCTTGGCACCTTCCTTGCTGGTGTGGCTCCTGCAATCTGCTGGCCAGGGAATGGTCTGCAGGGGTCAGCAAAGCCCTCTGGCCCAGAATCTGCAAGAACTCAGCGCCCACTAGGTGCTGGACAGGAGTGAGAAGGGCCGCCCCTGTCTGGATGAAGGGCTGGAGACAATACGAAGGCCCTGACAGCCCCACCAACTTTACCACCAGTCTGACCGCTGCCTGGCGGCTGTCCTGCACCCAGTGCGAGCTCCTGCCCAGGTCCAAGGGGACACTGGAGAGGGTGGACAGAAGGGTCACCGGGGTGACCTCATCTTTTCAGGCAGTGGCCTGTTGGGTCTGGTAAAAAGGCTAGGCCCAGAAGTCCTGACTAGCCCATAGTTTTCAGATGAAGAGATGGTAAAAGGGAAGGCCCAGAGAGGTGGTGAAGGAGGCAGGAATTGGGGTGCCATGAACTCAGCCTACCCATAGGCAAGGGCACTTTGAGTCTAGAAAGGATTGTGAAGAGACAGGCTGAGGAAGGAAGGAGACCGTGGTAGGGATGCCGGAGGGCAGAGGGGTCTGACTCGCAGACACAGGACCCATTCTGCCGCTCAGAAGGATCCCTGCAGGCTGCAGACTGACCTGCTAGGAGATGAGGCTGGGGCCAGGGTGCAGTGGATAGAGCACTGGACAATTACTAGACTGTGAGGCCCCCCGGGGCAGCGGCTGGCTTTCGCCTGTCTTTGCATCCCTCGTGCTTACCACACAGTAGGTGTTCAATGACTGACTGACTGACCTGGAGTCAGGGCTTGGAATGTGAATCCACCTACTAAGCTGAGGGCCTTGGTCACCTAACCGTGTCCTTAGGGAAGGGGATCAGAACAGGATCTGTGATTTCCATAGCATAGGTAGTTCCTAGGTGAGGAAAGTCCTCCACCTGGCATTCAAAGCCCTTCATGGCCTGCTCCCTTTTCCAGCGGCCTCATCACCTTCTACCACCCCCCTCGCCTCCACTCTAGGCTCACTCTCTTCAGTGAATCCAGTACTTGGGCTAGACTTGGTAGCTGTGAAAACCCCACCCCACCACGCTCTTCAGTCCCTGGCTTTATCAAGCTGTGAGCCAAGGGACAGGGTCCCCCAGGCCAAGTGCTCCTTTCTACTGGCGGCCTTCACCTCGCACCGGGGAACCTTCAAAGGGAAGGGAGCTTAGCTGAACTCGGGACATTTCTTCACATAAATTAGGCAACGACCTTCCCAGGAGGTGACAGTTCACCTACCCACACGCTCACCAACGATTTAAGATAGCTGCAGAGGCTGTTTCACCTCTGCTTTTACTAGACAAGACTCTGGGTGAGCTACCTGGGCTCCAGAGACCAAGACCGTGCTCAGTTCTCAGGATGGCACAGAAAACAACTGAGGAGCACTGAGTCCTGTTTGCCCGGTCAGGCAGGGTAGGTCTTTGTAGGAGGAAACAAGGGAGTAGGACCGTGTTAAGCTCTGGTACCTCGTAGTCACTCTCCAGAAACTCATGTAGGATCATTTCGTAGATGAGAGGCTTCAGAATGGGATCCCCTCTGGGCAAATACGGGCTAATCGCCTACAGGATGGAAGGGAAAGGAAACCAGGATTAAAACAAACAGAAGCAAAGTTCAACTTTTCACAACAAATGACATTTAACTTTTTGAGTTCAGAGCTCAAGGCCCGGAGGAAGTGGAAGTGTCCGTGGGTTTTCTTGACGTGTGTTTCCCTGGAGGTGTCAGGGGGTCCCGTGGCTGGGACCACGTACAGACGACACTGTGCTATTGGTGTCACCTCTGGGAAGAGAACTGTGACCCCTCCAAAGAGCCGGGCCTCACAGGGGTGACAACTGTCTCTCGTCATGATCAGGAAACACGGCCAGACGAGCTCTTCCACCATCACACTAACGGAGGACAGGCCCTGAAGATGGACAAGACCCTGGGCCAGATGGCTCGGCCTGGACTGCCTTTGGGAAACGTCCCAAGATCTTAGGATGCTTCTTGTAACAAAGGCCCCTGTTTTTAACCCCGATGTTCTTCTCCTAAGGCCGTGTGGTCATGCAGCATGGTGCAAATGTGGTGTGAACAGCCTCCAAGTAACTGCTGACCCAAAGGGCAACGGACAGAGGGATGAGTAAATGTCTCTCCTCCATTAAAAAGCACTTCCAAACTTCATGGGAAGATGGACTTGGGCTCCTTCCTGGGCAGAACCGAAATGAAGCCTCATACACATGTGATGCCAGTGTCTGAGATGGCTCAAAGGCACCGAACCAGGAAAAATCCTGATAAAAGACAGCATTCTACTCCCACCAGCATGACTCTAAAGAAAGCCATTTCTAAAACCTGTTAGAATGAAAACACCTTCAACCCTGAAGAAAATCAAATGGCTCCACTATATTCTGGAAAGATCTTCATATGCCCTTTTTGGATTATTGAGTTTAAATAGACATAAGACAACTCCTGGCTGTTGGGGGTGAGAAAGGAACGAGGGAGAGGAGGAGAGGAAGAGGAAGATAGAGAGGAGAGAAAGAGGAAGAGAGAAGGAAGAAGAGAGAGGAAGGGAGGGAGAGAGAGAGGGAGGGAGGAAGAAGGAAGGAGGAGGAGGGAGAGAGAGACAGAGACAGACAGAGACAGAAAGGAGGAAAGAAGGAGAAGGAAGAGAGGGGGAGATACCACGGAAAAGAAAAGAAGGGCTAGTGGACAGCACTGAATTCCAAGTTACCAACAGTTACCCTAACACATCCACTGATGGAAAGAATCAGAGGAGCGATCCCCAGGAACAATACCGGGTTCCTTTGTTAACAATAAAACTGTACAGGAAGCAGCCAAGGTCTTCCCCCTCTTCCACTGGCATTCACTCGCTCCCACCGAGGACAGCAGAGCTTCTATCAGCTGATGCTACCATCTTGCCCCCGTGTCTTGTGCATTTTCACCCACTTCTTCCCAAAGGTGTTCCACAAGGGAGTCACCTGAAGTCCTAGACAGCTACCCAGGGCCTCTGACACTGCCCGGCCACCAGTGAAGCCGTCAGCTGCCTACCTGGCCTCCCTTTCCCCTGTACCTAACCGAGGCATTTCCTTTCCGCATGATTTTGCACAAAAGCTCACTGTTGGACACAGTAGCCACTGAAGTTTGTAGGCCTTCTGCAGAGCCCACGTCTGCACCTGAAGTCCCATTTCCCGCTTCCCATTCTGCCCTCAAGGGACCAAGGACAAATCTCATCCTTCTTCCATAGAAGAGCCTCAAACACTTGGATACAGCCATGATTTCCCTGTTCTGCTCTTCCAGGCTAATCAAACCTAATTCCTTCAGTGCATCCACATCCACAGATGGCATGATTTCCACTCTGCACACACAATGCTGTGATACTCATCCCCTGCTGCTGTCCTCACATTCCTGAGGAGTTCCCGATGCATCCACACCAATTTCTTTGGAACATCACCTCTTTTCTTCATGAGTGGCAATGTTGCTCTGTCTTCAGAATTCCATTCGTGAGAGAGTTCCTTCTCTCTTGGGATGACTTGACATGATTAAGCCATGGGATCTTATTCCAACAGTGACCTTTTCTGAACACTTGAGATCTGCCCTTCTAAACTGCAAGGTATAGATCCCTCTGTGCCGGGCTTTCTTCTCCTCTGTCATGAACTTGAAGACACAGTGGACACTTCCTCCCAATGTTTCCAGGGTTTCCCTGGCAATCCCCTTCTCATTTTAGGTTGGATTCAAGTCTAGAATATATGTTTCTTTGGTCTCTTCCTTGACCAACAGAAGGAGAGAATCACAGCCTGGGAAGCTGAGTAGGGTTTTCACTGGTCCAGTGTCCAGCCCGGTCTCTACGACACTTTGGTAGCAGGAGGGAGCAAGGGCAGAGAACTCCATAGCTCAAGTGTAAGACACTTCTCCTGCACGCATGGAGAGGAGCCGACCACACCTGGTAACAGACTTCAGGGCTTGGTCATCAGCACGTACAGCTTGGCAGAACTTCCAACCTATGACAGATGGGCCATGAGCACGGAAGGCCGGCCAGAACCATGCGCACACAGCCCAGAGCAAAGCTGGTGAGGACAAGGTGCCAAAGATCTTCCCTTTGGGCAGAGGTACGAGGAAGTCGTGTCGGACAGTTAAGTGGGCTCTCTTCTCCAGAACTGCCTCTAATAGAATGCAGCCCCATGGGAAATCCACCCATGCTGAGGAGACGCAGGCAGAAATGACACAGCAAGTGCTGCCCTGGCCCACTGCAGAGAACAATACGGCAAGGCCCCCCTAGAGAACGGGCTCGAGAAGGTCTCACCAAGCTGTCTCTGGTGATTTCATTGGTTAGGAAATCCCCTTTCCCAGTGTAGATCAGCACTGGCCCTGAACCGCTGGTCCGAGAGACGTGCCTGGGCACTAGGGTGGGCGGCTCCTCGGGGTCATACACAGAGCGAGCAGCAGAAGCACCGTGAGTGTGGTAGAGAGAGGCCAGCCTCAGGGCCAGGGGGACGGAGGTTCAAGCTCTTCCCCTTTTAGTCAGAGACTACAGGTCTAAAAATGTCCAATTCTATGTAGAATGCAGCATACAAGGTAGATGAATAGAAATTAATTTGACATACCTTAAGCTGTCCTATTTCTTTAAATTTATAAACTTCATATTCCCAGAGAGCTGCATTTTTCCCCAGAACTTTCTGACATTTGCTGGGAATGAAAACATCATAGAGGGAAATATAATGAGTGAGTGAAAGAATATACAGAAAATGTGCAAAACAGCATTTTCCCAGTTTGAAAAATAGTTATCATCCACTTACTTTTAATGTATTTTAGGTTTATAAATAAATATAAATGTATATATAAATATGTATATGAATGTATATGTATATACATGTATATAATTCTATACCTATATATCACATTTGCATATATTCACATACATATATTATACACAGACATGTATATGTGTGTGTATATATATATATATATGTGTGCTCACACATACACACACGTATACATGGAATCTTTATTACCCAAGTAGTTCTCCTTTCAAACTTTTGGAGCCACAAAAAGATACACATATACATGTACATGTATATGCATACACACCCACACACCCACAAATCTATATATCACTTTGCCAATGGTACTACTGACTCAATTTTTCTATGTTTAAGGGAAAATGCACAATATAGTCCATTTATCTGATCCACTTGAAGGAATTCAATTACGTGATTCCTGAACCACAGTTATTTGTTTAAGCCACTTGATGCATGTTGGAAGTGGCCTGAGAAAATCATAACCCTATCAATAGTTACCTGTAGAATGGAGATATTCAGAAAAACTTGTTTTACTTCAAGTAATTTCAGGGTTCCTAAAATAAAGTCTCAAGAGCAGAGCCCAGGCCTCCTGCTTCTCTTGGATCTCGGGACCCCCTTATTATCTCCGTAAGACCAATAACCACTGAGCATGGACAGGGAGGACTGCAGCCAGGCTTCCCTGGGGCATCTGCTGTCCGTGGTACTGACCATTCACGCCCTCTGGACTCATCTCCTATTTCATTAGATCTTACACAGTTTTTCCTCTGACTGGGGTAAGCTCTTTGGCAAAGGTAATACAGTCGATGGTTACATGACACATGGTGACCCAAGAGTCTTCTTTTCCTTGTTGGAAACCTTTCTCCCCAAGTAGTTCCCTTTTCAAATTTCTGACCAAATTCCTGCCAGTGCAGGTGAGAAATTGTCTCTAGTCTATCCCTACACCAGAATGGGGACTGTGTCCAGGAAGCTGCAGGAGACACCAGGAGTGTCCTTACCGGGCTGCCATGTCATGCTCTCCTTTTTCCACCAGGTGACTTATATAGGCCAGGCCTATGTCCTGAGGGAGATAAATGAAGACATCCCGTAAGCCTGTGTAACAACTTCCAAGCACAGACACGTGAAGAGGTTATAACATGGTAGGTTTTCTGGTTTGTCTGTAGACTCATAGGTTCAGAGATTTACAGCTAGAAGGGACCCTGGAGATTATCTGGTTCAACTTTCTCATTTTATAGATGAGAAAACTGAGGCCCAGAGAAGGTGAGGGACCTGCCCAAGGTGACTCAACTTATCAGTACTGAAGGTAAGATTCGAATCCAAGTGTTTCTGAATCCAGGCCTGGTGCTCTAACACTAAATGCTCATTTTATTTCTGAGATCTCTAGACCACCCATTTCAGCTTTTTTTCTCAGGTATATCACACCCAAAGCTCTTACAATACTCTCTTCCTTGCAAGAAAAACGTTTTTCTGCAACTAATTTCTTGCTTTCTGAGTTTGGTTCACACAGAAGATGGGGTCAATTTTCTGAACGGATATGAATTAAAGGTGGTCGTTCTCTCTTGCTACCTGGGGATGGCTGCTATCCCTTGTAGCTATTCTTTGTCCTGGGATAAGCTACTTAAGCTCGTGCCTCAGCTTCCTTGATGGGAAATGTGAGCTGACTCCTCTATTCTAGTCCTGGCTGGGGAACGAGAAGAGATGTTCTGAACTAAGAAAATGGTAGTGCTACCATCTGACAGAGGGATCATGCCCTATTACAACAGAATTGGTGCAACGCTTAATTCCTTCAGTTTGGCGAGGTGAAATTTTGTAATGAGCACACTGTTTTCTCGTTGATAGCGGTGAGCCATCAAATAGAGCAAATGTTTCACCTTTTTTCTTTATTAAAACAGGTGGTAAATTATCAAGCCCAAAAAATGGACCTTGAATAGAAAGAAGGAAGAGGTGTGCCTTGACTCCTCCTCCAATGTCTCCTCAATCATTTGATGTCTCCTGTGGTTTCTAGAGTTTTACTGGCGTGTTTAAGGGACAGGAGGATGGACGAAGGGCAATCTCTTACTGCTGGTGTCTAAGCTGAGCAACAGGGCAGCCGTGAGCTTTGTCCTCAGTTTCCTTCTCTGTCAAATCAGGGCTTACATGAAGTGACCACCTTTAAGGTGCCATTTTGCTTTCGAGTCAATCCTGCCTCCCTCATCCTGCCCCGCCCTGCTCCCCCCACCCTTAACCTTTACAATAAATTTAGCCAAGGGAACATGCACCTCAAACTATACTTTTCTTCACAAATGAAAGGGATTTTGAAAAACTGATGTGCGAGACTGTATATTGTAAATAATTCAGTAACATGAGAGCAACACAGCTCTGCCGTATGCTAAGAGACAGAAACAGGCCTTTTCTCCAAAGCGCTTCACTTGAGCAATCTCGCCAGAATGGATTTCGCTTGTCTTCTCTGGGCATTCACACCCAGAAAGCTCCTTAGAGAAGGGGCTTCTCACAATCATAACTCATGAGAGAGCTCCCACGGTCAGTATCTCATTCTCTCAAACAGCCCTGTAAGGAGATCTTACCCTCTCTCGTTACTTTTGGTAGTGAATGGTCAGCCAGCTTTTATTCACTGTTACTAGGTCTCGATGAAATGAATTCCTTCAGTCCCGCTAGCCTGAAGCCCCTCTAGTCTTCACAATGGGCTTTGTCTCCCACCATAAACTCGAGATAGCGAATGCTGCATTTCAACAATGGTGTTTGTACTCACCAGAATCTTGTGTCTTTTAATATTTCTTTGGCAAACTTCAGCAGCCATCAAAGCTTCCTACATGCACATAATCAGGGAGAAAAAAGAGAAAGAGAGGCCTAAGTGAAGCTTACTTTCTTTGTATGACATCTAAAGGTCTGAACCATATAAATGAGGTATCTGTCTTTTGATTTTCATGGCTTTGTTTGAGGACTTTGAATGTCACAGTTGAACAAACATGTCTGAAATTAAATTGTGAAACAAAAGCAGTCAACTAAAAAGAAGGTTGCCTCTGTTTTCATCAGGGGTCACTGCGCTGGGATCAAAACCCTGCAAATCCGACAAAATCTACTCGTTAATTTAAAAAAAAAAGTTCCCTTGGCATCAAACCCCCCAGAATAGGCTGAAAATGGCCCTTTTAGGTTTTCCTTCTGTTGTGTTTTTCCAGCCAGGTAGCTTTGCCCTGCCCCTCACACCCATCGGTGGTATTTGCATCTTCTAGATCTAGAAACAGATGACCTGATCCCACCGAATTCTTGACATCTGGGAAGTTTTACAGGTCTGTCTTTGCCAATTGGAGGGATGTCTGAAATGGAATTGTTCCTTGACAATCTTAACGGGAACTGGAAACACTGAGATCGATCACAAGCTTTTGGACTGGGAGATTTTTACTTTTCAGTGCAACCCCGTGGGAACTAATGAGGTGGTGAAGCAGCAATTCCACACACGGACAACTCAAATAATTCTTTTTTTTTTTTAACACCATAAAGTGACCTATTTCATAAAAGCCTTTGATGAATACCCAGGTGGATCACTTTAGGAGGCTAACAATATAAAGGCTGTTACAGACCAATTTAAGTGAAGAAATAAGTGAACACCTTCCATTCTCCAATTCTTTAATTTTTCAGCCTTCCCTTCCAATCAATGTGAACCAAGTACATATATTTATTTCCCTTTAGATAAAGTGGTTCTATCACCTTTGCTGGTATTAAAGCTGGGAAAATCATCTTTACTTTAAAAGCAGCAGTAGAATACCCATCCCCCTCTTAGCTTCATCTGCATTGAGCCTGTCCAAACTGGTCAGATATCGTTCCACCATTTTCTTCTCACGACACTCAACTGTGCTTTGAAATCTTCACTGGCTTTACGTTCTGGGGTGTGGGTTGGCATATCAGATAAGAGTAGGATTCATAATTTCAGCAAGACTCTAAAACATTCATTCATTGCAATGACAGCCTGAAGAAGGGATGGCCGTGCCGAGCTCATGTAATACCTGCAATTCAGACAAAGCTCATTTTTAAAAGTAATGTAAAATTTCGCCAAATTACTTCGTATTTTTTCTTCTCAAGGAGCCAGTCGATGTGATCGTCTTGGTCCCGTTCCTTGGCCACGACGACATCTCTGGGACTGACGATATAAAAGAGCGATTCCCCTTCGGAGTACTCTGCAGATGAGGGAGGAAGGGGGGGCCGTTAAAAAAATGCTCTTTGTCTCAGCACGCAAAAGAGACAGGATCCCACCCCCGAGTGCTTTCCATTTGAAGATGGCTTTTGATGCTCCATGTCCCAATAAATTTAAATTCTGACTTCAATTGCAACACAGTATTCAAAACAGCCCATTCCTTCCTGCATGTTCTGATTCATCTACCATGTATAAACTTTATTTATGGCCATTTATAACACGGTTCTACTTTCACAGGACAATTACGCCGCATAGCCAGCGATAAACGTCTCTGCACCATCAAGGTCAACGCCATAGAAAGCGTCAGTGATAGATGCCACCCCCCCTGGGGGCACAATACATCACACAGGCTGGTATTTACAAGGTGGCCTGTTAGGACTGCATGGGGAATTCAATTATCAAACCCCAATTCTGAAGGGTATGGAAGTAGGTGGCAAAGTTGGCTCTGAGCAAAAACGGAACGTGATGCCTCCCAGCTGAAGAGCAAGGTGGGAAAATAACCTCATGGTTTTCCCTTGTTTGCGGCTCTCTGCAAAAAGAGGAAGCAAGGAGTGTCCTCACCTTCTTGGCCCCCACTACCACACCTCCACTTATGGATCCGCTGGGGCCTTAAAGGCGTCCATTCACCAGAGTTTGGCCGGGAAACATCCCAACCAAGCGGCAGGTTCAGTCATCTGGCCGCGGGGGTTCTGATTCTGGTTGTTTTTACTGTGCCAGTTATGGAGTTATGGGTCCCTGTGACTTAGCAGGCCTCCTTATCTTGTGGCCCCGAAACCAACCTCCCCCTGTTCGCCATGACAGCACCAACAGAAACAAATGTAAATTAGACATTTCAATTCGCCCCCGATTTACGAAGGAGAAATTGGGCACAAATCAAAGCTAGTTAAGAGACAGCGGGAGGTGGCGTGGCTGTGGACAAACAGCGGTAGCAGCTGAACCCGTGGTTCTTGAGTCTTTCTCAAACGTTGCGCCATTGCTCTGACCCATTGCTCTGAAGCCGGGGCAGGCTGTAACTAACGCCTTCCCGTCCCATCCTACAGAGAAGGGAGCCGAGGCTTGGCAGCCACAGCTCCCGGTCAGGAGCGCCAAGCGGACAGTGCCAGAACCTGAACCCACATCTGCGGACTATGAGCTAGGGCTCTTTCTACTACAGCTGACTACTGCCCTGCATGCGTGCAGGGACGTGACGACAGGGGCTGAAGCATCCGGGTGAAATGAAGTAAAATGAACCGTGAAATACATGTGGGTGCGTGTGTATGCACAGATAACTATGTATACAGGTATAGACACACATACACACATAATATATAGGATATATAAACTACATAAGCATATGTTAAATATATTACACACATGTTACATATATTATACACGGACACAGACACATATGTAAATATGAATCCACTCATTACATTTCTGGGTGGAGTGCTTCTACAGGAAGAAAACCAACAGTTGTGGAGGCCTGAAGGCCGAGGAGCAGAGCCCACTCCAAGAACTAAAAAGAGCCCGTCTCTGGCCCTTCTCACCCAGGTGGTAGTCTCTGCATTCATTCTCTTGAAAACCTCTCACTGTCAGGGCGTCGGAAGAGATCTCTTCACAGGTCTCCGGAAGCGGCTGAATAATGTCCAATCTGGGCCGGGCACAGTACTGCCTCTCCTGTGGGAAAAAGAGAGAAAAACCCTTCTGTCACACAACCACAAATTACCCAAATGACTTCTTCTTGAGCCCAGCAACTGCTGATCTGCACCCTCCCTAGGACGGGAAGCCCTGGTCAGCCCAGGAGGTGCCTTTCTCCTAACACTGGCTTTTCCACACTTTGTCAGTTCACTTTCAGATCAATGCTTGAGTGTCTGATTTGTGAGAAGGAGAAAGAAGTCTGAATCTCTGTGCCTGATGGTCCTCTATCCAGGCTTGGGCTCACCCAGGGCATTGCATTGACACCCAGGGTTAGAGGACCTAAGGCAGAGCACCAGATGACGACAATTCTTTGAAGGGGGAACCTCTGCCTGAATCAGGGAGTGCTGGGAAGACTAAAGGAAACGTCCATGGAGAAGCTCTGTGAACTGGAAAGCTTCCTACAAATACAAAAGGTAGTCTTAGGAGCCAGACTGGCCTACGTGCTGTTTTTGGATTTCCCTCTGCCGGGCCTTTGCGCTGGCTGTACCCCATGCCTGGAATGTTCTCCCTTCATATCTCAGGCTCCTAGAATCTTGAGTTTCCTTTCAGAATCAGCTGAAGTATGAGATGCTGAGGAATGCATTTCCTGGTCCTCCCAGCTACAAAAGCCCTCCCCCTAAGCTTCCCTTCCTTCTACTCTGAATGTCTTCTACACACACACACACAACACACACACACACACACACACACACACACACACACACACACACCCCTGCTGTCTCCCCCATCAGAATGCAAACCCTTTGAGAGCAGCGGCCATTTTTGCTTGGGTCTTTCTATCCTCAAAACTTAACCCAGGGCCTAGAACAGAGGGGGCTTAATTAATGCTTTCTGATCGGTCGATCTGTTTTCCAAAATTGTAGAAAACTATGATTACACCTCTGGTGTACTCATACACCTGGTGGCCAGGGCCAGCAGGCGAAGTGTACTTTTTGGCCACTTCTGTGAAAGAGAGGTTAGAATGCAAAGCCCATGGATCAGGGCCCGAAGCCCATAAAAACTGGCCAGAGTCACAACTGGACAATTCAGAGCAGCCTGACCCACCCTTTTCTTTTGGACACATTCCTTGAGTCCTACTAGCTTCTACTTGGGGAACTACTGTCTCCTTTGGTGGTTAAAAGAAAACAAAAGAAAAAACCTCAAAAGACAAACACTACCACTCACAACGCCCCACCCTGAATCCAGTCTCCAAACATGAAGCCTTTTGGCTAATATTAAAGATGGTGCCCTGAGCCTTCTTCCCGCTTGGGAAACTTTCTTTTCCCAATGTGTTCCACAGGCTTGGCCAGGTGAGGTTGTGTCCTCCTGCTTCTTGCTCCGTTCTAAGTCCTTTCTAATCATGCTTTTCATTAACAAAGGCTTCCGCCATCCTTGTCAATTATTTATTAAGTTTTTCCTCTTTTCATTTGACCTCTTCGTTTCATGCTTTCTTTTTAACATCCTCTCCCGTTCATGTGCATCAAAACAGTCCTGTGTTCATTCCCCTGGGAGCCGCTGCTATTTTTTCCCTAAAATAAAATAATAAACTGATGTCCTGCGATAGGGCGAGACGTGAACCCTATCGATTTCTGTAGGCTGGAGTGCTCACTTAAGCCTACAGCATTCTGTCTCCTAGCAACATGGGCATCCAGAGCTTCAGGTTACCATAGCAATGACTTCCTAATGCAAGTGCGCCGTCAAAGAAAGCTTCCTGAGCATCTCCTCTTCTGAAAGCGAGGCTTCCAGGCTTTTTCACCCCCTTTTAGTCCTTGTATTCAGACATAAGCAAGACACAGACAATGAGAATCTACTGCTAGGCACAGCTGGCCATCAATTGTCCTTCCTTTTAAACCCAGGTGCTGAAATCAGGTCTTTTCCAATCAATTCTCAGCTGTTTGGACTCATCCATACTTTCTGATTTTCCTTCCCAGTTGCGTCCCTGGCAACTAAGAGCAGAGCCAGGCTGGCAATGGGCCCAGGGCAGGCTGGGAAAATTACTTCTGAGAGTGTCTGATTAGGCTGCACTCCACTTCCACAGCCAAAGGCAAAGACATCTAGATTACGGGCTGTTTCGTCTACCTGTATAGCTTTGCCTGAACATGCATGGCCCTAAAGAAGAAATATACGAGAAGGCACTTTGCCATGCTCCTTTGCAGATGTCAGTGTCCACAAGTGTGGAATAATGCACATTACTTCCAATTTTTCTTCAGTTTCTTGATCAATTTTGCTTAATTCCCCCTTTAAACTCTTTGTTCCGTGGGAAATAGGGTAGGGGGGAAAGAGAGGAGGAAATATAAGTGATATAAAAACAAAATCACAATAAAAGTCTATTTTAAAATCTATTTTTTTTTTAAGGCATGGACAAGTGAGAGTAGGCTACATTCAATTTTAAAGTGGGAATATCCATTTCATCAGAATCCTTACACTACAAGGGATAAATGGGAGTGTCTGTGGTATGAGGAAAAATGAACTAACCGCC